CAAGTCCCATCAATATGGAGAAACTCTCCCCCACCTCCTTTCTAAAATGCAAAGAAATTGACACCTTGTCTTGCCAATCACTTCCAACAATAACACTTTGTCCTTCATCTTCGGGCTTTTCACACTTTGCACCCTGAAAGATTTCAAGATTCTCACTTTATATCTTCAAAGATTAAATTTCTCACATTGTGCCTTTAATGTATCAAAATTGTTGCAATTTGACCCTTCTCTTGGCTTCTGTTATTTTTTCCATCAAAAATGTACTCTTTTGATACATTGAACGTGCAATGTGAAAAATTTAATCTTTGAGGTATAAAATGAGAATCTTAAAATCTTTCAGGGTACAAACTACAAAGTGCAACTCACCCTTCATCTTCACTCAAAGGCACACCTTTAGTGAAACTTTGTTAACAACAAAGCAAAAGTAGGGACTAGAAAGGAGAGAGAAGAGATGAAATTCTTTCATGGGTATATTAGGCTATTGGATTTCTTCTACTTCTACAAGGAGCAAGACCCCAAGTTAGAAACAGAGAAACTTTGATTTGTAAGACCATACTTTAACATGTAAAAGGCGAACAAAAACATAGTACCATAACTTCGAAAAAAAGTAAGGATGGCAGACCACCATTATGTCCCATATCAAGTAAATCTAAATCATCTAATATTTACTAACTCATATAGTATAAGAAATATTTGTCCTAACAAAACTAGAAATAGACACGCCCAAAAAACTACCAAAACCAGATTGCAATCCCTAAAAATACAACTCTGCTAGTTTTACAACAAAATTTACTTTTTCAATGTGAATTTTTTATTGAAGCACATTTAGCCTTTCATAGTCATCTCATCATCTACTAAAACTTTGATCTTCATTCTCAATTAGCTTCGCATGAGCTAAGGCTTTCCCCTTTGCTCACTCTTAGAATTACTATTTGCACAGAGGGACTTATTTCTGTTTCTGATGTTTATCAAATAATCTGTACAAATAACTTTTCCGATTTCCTTTAAAATTCCTACCCTTCAACAAAACTAAGAATCTCTGCACCTCCCTAACAGAAGTTGTATTTGTCCTTTCCCTCAATTGCACATAGTTCTTCTCCTAAGAAACAACATAAATATATCCCTTCTTAGCACGATAACAAAAATGACGTCCACAAATGTATAAAAGGTACTCAAAAAACAATATATCAAAGCAATCAAGTTGTTAAATATTAAATAAGTTTCAAATACCAAGGATAGCGTTGCCAAGGATCTAAACTTTGATTTGAAATGGTCGAAATGATCAAAAAGTTTCTATTTCCATGGAAATCAAAACGAATCAATGATTGAATATCAAAATTCTTAGTTTTGAGATGTTTTGAAATATTTCAAGATTTTTCGACCAATGTTTCAGGATATTTCAAAAATAAATTTTTAAATTTTTTTCTCCATTTTCATTTGGTTGCCAAAATATTTCCAATATATATCTAAACCCAAAAAACATTTCTTAGGTGACCGAAAAAATGCATCTTAATGATATTTTCATCGTTGATCATTGCATAAGAAATGAAACAGAGTTGCAGGCATCAAAGTGCATGGTGCCTTCACATTGTCATACCTGCCAATTTAGACGGGTTAACACAAGATGTTAATGAACATACCTCAACAAGTTGGTCATAATTAGACTTTAGCAAGTTGATTTTTCGCTCACAATAATCTTTGCCTTCTAACATTGTTTTCTGATCCATAAATAACATTAACAATCAAGTCGGGATAAAATAGTTGGTAAGGAGGAAAAATGCAAAAAAAAAAAAAAACACAAGTTTCAGCATGAAAAATAACACTAACACGACCGATAGAAAAAAGAAACAAATAACAATAAAGGAATCAAGACAAAATAGAACAACACTTAAACCACAGTTTTATGCCGAGAAAGTCAAAACAAATGGCCTTTACCATTACCATATTTCTGTAACTACATAGTGCCAAATGAATTAAAGCAATCCCCAACCAGAAGATGGACTCTTGTTTGTTTTTGGCCCAATACCCATGGTCCAGTGGCCCAACTGTCAATTAACTAACCTACCTAAAAGCTTATTAGCCCAAGGATAGGTGATACAGATTAGGAAGAAGAAGAATCAAGTAATGAGAAGAGAAGAAGTAAAAGGATGAGAAGGGGAGAAAGGGATATGAAATCAGAGAAGAAAGAGATGAGAAAAAATTTGAGCAGAGAAATATTCTCAATCATTCAATTGAATTTTCTGGTATGCGTAGTTGTTTTTCTATTTGGTAGCCACATGTGCGCACCCGATTCCTCTTAGGACCATCAGAAGTTATTTTATATGCTTAAAGAGTCTCTCCACTCGTTGTCAATTAGTTTATGATTGGATACTCCAAAAGTATCCACAAAGGGCTTGGTTGTATTTTGTTCTAGGTATAGTGAACATGGGTGATACAAACTACATACTTGGATTTAAGATCCTTGAATGTAGAGTTACAAACCCATTCATAGTTCTGTTGCGAAAGGCAAGTGCCTAAGCCTTGAAACAAACGTTAAAACTCTAGTACAAAGAAATTAGTTGGTTTGAGTACCCTTGTCATGTGTTGTAAGGAGCTTGATGTATTCTTTGGTCCTAATGTTGCTCATGTGATGCAATCTAGAACATATTGCGTTAACTTACAAACTACAGATTGCATACTTTATTATTTGTATTCATGGTTGCACCCGATTAGATGCAGTTGTGCCAAGTTGGGGGCAACAACTAATTTTGGTCACATCAATCACTAGTTATAAGATCATCAAAGATATGCTTGCATAGAGATGGTGAACCTAAATCATTCTCTACAAGTTGTAGATTCCTTGTCTAAGCTTAACGCTAGAGAGTCAAATAGGGCTTGTGATGTGAAGTCTAGAGATTTGTGGATTGTAGACATTCTTTTGTTCAATTGATCACACGTATTTACATATATTATGTTGGAGTTGGAGTATTATTATCATTTTTCATGTGATTATCATTTATTGTTTATACATGCATTGCCTATCATTGTGTAAAACAGTTCAAGAAAAGAGTATGTCAACCAGCTTAGATGAGTCCACTCACAAGTGATCGCCCTAGCGCTTAAATAGCTAGCAAGATAAGACAAATATAATAATATTGGCGCTTGTTTAGTGAGCTAATGATTCTATGCACATGAGTGCAAATTAGGTACTACAAGGGATATGTCGCCCTTGTTGGAATCAGGATGAGATTTGATAGTCAATCATGCATAGTATCCATCATGCTTGATTAGATAGCCGTATGCCAAGCTATAATTAGTTGTTTGAAGTAGCTAGCTAATAGAGAACTCAATTTAGACGCTTAAGTAGCAACTAGACTAAGATCCATAAAGCATAATAATGAGATAAGACATACAATGTTTGTATTGGAATGAGAACTCCACCGTAACATGTATCTCACATTGCATGTGCTTGTCAATTGGAGGTGAGGAAATGTATCCCTACTTCCTCATTGTGTGATTCCTTGAGGTCGTTATATGTGACCAATAATTGTGCTCTTATGGCTTTTTATTATGCCATGAAGTGAAATAATTAATGTCTAGCTACTTTTATATGTTTACCAAGGACCATGAATGTAGGGACTCGCGTGGCATGTCCAGGAAAGTAGTTAGTTCTAAGCCAAATGGCCTGAGGGTAAAGGAATGACCATCTAGTGCATCATGTTTTATTATGACTGGTAGCAACTTATGTCGCCTTATATGTACTACAATCTAGATGTAGGAACATTGCAAGGCTTGAGAGTTAAGCATAGCTATTTGAGGGGTTAAAGCTGCTTAGACCGATGTGTCTTGGCCACACAAGATACTATCTGTTTTTTCTTCTATGGTTAATGCCTCTATGTTAGCTCTAATTGAGTTTAGTGTAGAGCTCCCAAAATGTAGATGTACTATGTGGTTGCACGGTCCATTAGCCAGTATGAATTGAATCTAGTGAAGATGAATTGAGAGAGACATGGTAACTTTGTGCACACCAAGTGCAAGTGGGAAATGTAGGACTTTGAGTCGAACCAAAACTGAGACACCCATGGATGTGCTTGACCTAGTTAATTAAGAGTAGTACATATAGGATTGGACTGCTTTGACGTGCTGGAAGTACTGCTTGTATGGAACTCTTTTATTTAAATGTCCACACAAGTCCACATATACAAAACACTTGAAATGTTAAAAATTTCAGCCCTTGTTCTTCTACATCTTCTACTCTCTCTTCTCCAACCACTTGGTGAGACAACAAGGCTTTTGCACTATGGATGTGTGGATTTCTCTCTAGTGGTGTTACCTTAAAGCAAGATATGGTTCGTTATCAAGAAATGTTTTGTAGCATGTGAAGCACTCTCATTTTGGTTTCGGGAAAAATGTAAGCCTCCAACCCAATTCGCTTCCGCATGTATTGTTGTTACTATCCTTCATACCGGCAGTATGGATACAAAGAAAATCTTTCAAGTCAGATAGAAAGAAAGATTCCAAGGTTAGAATTTGTACCTATTTATAATTAGATGCCATCCACGTTGTGTAATCCAATAAACCCTAGCATTATACTATTACAATTGGTCAAAGAGTTCCCATGAGATTTTTTTTTTTTTTTTTGTAGAGGTTCATAAGCTTCATTATAGGTGTTATAGAGGCAAGGATTCTTGAATAAAGCCTAATGGTCATTTTACAATATTTGCGACTGCAAAGGGCTGCACTCCCTCTCTCTCTCTCTCACAAGTAAGATGAGAATGAAAATGAAGACACAGCTCTCAAGCTCCTTAAATGTAGACTTAAAACTCCAGAAAGCCACTTTCCGCCAATCATGCAGACTGGCATATCACAAAGAGCTATTTTTTTTAATAACGAGGAGCGTACAATTTTCAAAGCACATTCTATGCGCAAAATTAGATAATTTGAGATTTTCAAAATAGGTGAAAACTAACTTATCAAAAAAGAAAAAAAAAATACAAAGAGAACTAGCATCAAAGATTCCTTTAACATTCCTTCAATGTTAAATATCAGAAACAGTAGTTGAATCCCAATCGGTATGCAGTAGATAGAGAATTTCTTGGTATATACCAAAATTTGGGAACCAACCTCAATGAAATATCCCGTGCCGACATCGACAAGGACTTTATCGGCATCGTCTAACGTGCCGGAAACATAAAGCGACGCCGTTAGAGGCACTAGCATTTTCTTCCCTAACATCCAAAAACACAATACCCAAATCGTCATTCATTAACAAAATGAGAGAGAGAGAAAGAGAGAGAGAGTGGAGCCAAACCTTGGGGGCGAAGAGAGAGGTCGTGGAGGGCATTGGAAGCGATCTCGAGACGAGCGGTGGCTGTACGGATGTTGTTGAGGCTGTCTTGTAAGAGATTGACTTCGAGATCGGCTTGCTCTTTGAGGGCTTTGAGCTGTTCAACGCTCATCTTGTCTATCTCCGGTACTACTCTCACTGCTGTAGGCGTATTTGTTCCTCCACTTCCACTCCCTTTCGTCGCCATTGCACCGCACGCTTGCTGATATGCTCTCGACTCGTTTCTCTATCCCACCGAGAGTCTCTTCAGCTTTTTCAATGTTTTCCGATGTTAATTACCTGGTGCAGTGCACAACCAACCGATCTATAATTATATCGATACTACTTTAAAAAGTAGTATTATTTAAAAATATTTATATTTCACTTTTACTCGATCATATCCATAATATCTTTTATTCTTTTTTTAGCATGAAACTAATTATATTTAATTTATTAATTACCTCCAAAATGTTTATAACACATTGTCTCCCACAATAAATAAATCTTTTTATTGATTAAAAAAACACATTCACCTTAATCATCTTCATTGTCTTCCATTTTGTCTTTCCTCTGCTTTATTATATGTTATCTATATTATACCATACTACTTTAAAATGTGAATAAAAGTGAAAAAAACAATAGATCACTACAATTACCTTAATAAATTACCTAATATCATATATATCCTACTATAATATCCTTTAAGAAATACTTAATATCACTTGTATGTATCATTTCATCTCCTGCTAATGAAATTGCAATTGTCTACAGAAATTGTAATGTCAATAGACAAGTTAACAATCTCGTGCATCTTTAATTACACGCACTATTATCCAACATCTCTGATGTTTCCCCCTCTTTATCACTCATCTCTCTCGCTCCGAGCTTTGGAGACGGCTGCTTGAGATCAATTCCGTCGTCTACCCTCAATGTGTATATGACTTTTGAGTATAGGTGAGTATCACTCTCACTCAAAATGATGCGGGAAATGGGGGCAAACGTGTGTGTGGGATGAACAAAATGTGTGTGTGTGCAAAATTAATCCCCAAGCGTAGAGAGAATCTTGCAATGTCGTGTTTTACTTGGAATGGGTATTCCAAGGTCGTCTCCTTAGGGAATGAAGGTGAATTGTGCTGGAGGTGATTTTGGCGAAAAATGAAAAGTGTAAAAATCTTTAAGTTTTGTGTTTTGATGAGTTTTGTTTTGAGAAAAAGGAATGGAAACAAGTGTTGGCTAATCTGAAGAGGTCATTCCAATGAGGATGCCAAATTAACTCAAGACCTTCCTCCAATGGTGCTTAAATGTTTGATTGATTCGTAGGAAACAAAAGACTAAAATGGAGGTGAGGATTCAAGGATACCTTGTGACAAGTCTATGGTGTATCAAAACTCACAATTACGTCCACACTCAACCTAGTCAAATCAAATCATCGTACACTATGAGGAGGAAAGAAAATGAGTTGAAATAACATACTCAAGAGGAGTTATCCCTTGGATTAACCAACTTAAAATCTAGTTACTTATAATAAAAGGAAAGACATGCATAATGTAAAGAGACATGATGAAGAAATGAAACATGAAACTAGTATTAATGCAAGAAAAGAGTTAAACTATAAGAGAAATAACATTCATACCAAAATAGAAAAGTTACAGAGAAAACCCAGCTGTAAATATTGAAGTGCAAGAACATGGAATTAAACTTGAAATAGAAGAGATTAAAGTACTAGAAATGAAGATTACAAGTGAAATACAACTTACTACAACTGAAATGGGTGAAGAAAATGCAAAAATCTAAGATTTATCTCTTTAAAACTACTTCTAAGCTTAGGTAGCCTCCACCTCCTTCAAAGCTTGTGGAATGTTGAATATATGGTGTAGAGATGATGTATTTTCGTCCATGAGGCTCCCCTAGCCTGTTTGTAGGCTTCCCATCAATGGAAGATGAGTTGATTGACTTTGGACAAGCTAAGACAAGCCTAGCCTGCACCCATCATGCCTTCATCCTTATCTCTCTTCATTTCCCATCTTCCATCCTCAAAAGTCAGCAACTAGAGTGTAAGAGGCATGTATATAGTAGAATATGTCAGGGGGCAAGTGGGAGAATCATAGGAGGGACTCCTAAGCAAGTGGAACATGAGTGGCAGACATTCTAATACTTCTGGGCAAAGCCTACCGGTAGAACGATGAAACCTACCGATAGGTTTTACTCTAGTAGCCAAAACCTACCGGTAGGTTGCTAGCTCAAGACCAGTTTTCGTAGAATTGTCATAAATTTTGATCCAACCGTCCGATTGAGTTGAAATGTTGACACAATACAGATGACATCTAGATCTACAACTTTCATGTTTTGAATATTTCCAGATTATAAGTGGATCATGGTCAAAAAGGAAGAAAACAGAGGTGCTGCTACGAAATGGTGCAGGTGCTGGTGCCTATGTTACCAAGCACCGATACCTCCTTGATTTCTTTCATTTTAAGCCTTCAAATCCTCATGTAATGTATTCATGTCTTCACCACTCATCCATACTTAGTTGCAAGGTTTCAAAAGTCATCATTTATGCTATAATTACCTACAACATCAAGATTTTAACATTATTCATAAATTTGACTAACTCTAAGTAATTAAATACGAAGTTGAGTTAAAATACATATAATTAGGCCATTAAATATGCAATATTACGCGCTCATCAACGGCAAAGCTCCGATTGCACCCAACATGCAACACACTCTATCTCATGGTAAGTCTCTTATGTAACTCTTTCTCTTTTTCTCTTCACGCCACCAGCCCACAACCCCATAACCACCATCGCAATGCCTTCATTCCCTTCACCCCCTTTCCTTCTGTCAGCACCGCTAAATAGAGCCACCAGTCAGCTCATATCTACCACCACCACACCCCCACTATTTGCCATCACCACTGCATCAAACCCTCATCCAACCCCCTTCCAAACTTTTAATTTAATAGGATTTCAACTGAGAGTTCAATTTTGATTTTGACATCAATATTTGATTATGATATTGAATTTTGAATTCTAGATATGAATTGATATTTTGATTCAATTTTTAATTTGTAGAGGTGACAATTTTTTAGCTAGACAACATGCACCATCACAGCCACCAGCACATGCATGTGAGATGTTTGATAAAATGAGCTCTTGTTATATGTTAATTTATTTTCCTACAAACACATTTGGTGCCTTCAATTGAGTAATTGAGTCTACCTTGCTTTACCTCTCTTGTATTATTAATGGCTTTACTCTTCTGTCGTCTTTTGGGTTACTTGGTAGTCATTAGTGCAATGGTAATGTGTTTGTATGTAATGTAATGGCATTATATATATGTATGTGATTTGGATGATTCAGGATTGATGTTTGATGAAATATCACATAGAGGGGTAGGGCTTCTTGGAATTCCAGTGCTGCTACTTATGTTCAAAATTCAAGATGGTGGACCATCCACGACACTAATTGTATGTACCATATATGATATACAAACCTCTATTCTCTTTCTGCATATACATATATGCATACTTTTGCACTATTCAATTAAGTGTAATTTTAAAATTTTGCCAATGGTAAACTATGTATTTTCAAACTCATTTACGTGGAAATTGAGTTACTTTACTTTTCAAATGTGTGAAAGCGGGAAGACTTGTTTATAGTGTACTGCCAGATGTTTTTATGTAGTTTGGAAGATGTAATTGGAGCATGTGTTTAGAATAAATGTAACTGTAGGTGTGAGTGGGTTATGTCTATGTAAAATGACATGTAGTAGTTTGACTATAATGCATGTATTATATCTTTGTTTATACAAAATGCTTTAGTTTGTATGATGTGGGTTGGTTTGCTAAGTTATGCCAGATTATGTTAACACCTTTACATGCTTTCGTGGGTCAAGGTAACACTTGTCGCATGCCTGGTCAATCCGGGGTGTGACACTGTCCTAGGTTTAGTTATTTATGTGAGCATTGAAGGAATTGATTCGTGATGTATATAAGATTTATCATATTAAAGGTTTACATGTGGTGATTTATCTATCTTTTTGTGGATTAACTTTGATTTTATTGGTGATGACTTTCAAGAATGATTTGAACATTGGCTATTGTGATTGGGCTTGCACCAATGCGATTAGTATTTTACCAAAGATACGAAGTGGTAGTGTAGTGGAACAATCGAGTGCAAACTAGGTGAATGTGATTAAAGGGGTGAATAGTTATGATGAATGTGAATTGAGATACTTAGCAGTACGAGGTTGGTATTTTATATTTAGGAACTAGTTAGGTTTAAATTAATATATTTCTAGGATATAATTGTGAATTGGAGTTAAATTTTAAGGACAAAATCTCTTTGAAGGTGGGTAGACTATAACAACCTGGTGTTTGGAGATCAAGAATTGGACATAAAGGAGTGCGTGTAGATTAGAGGTTTTGAGTTCAAAGAGTCAGATCATGAAATGATAGCTCCAAGGTGTGTGCGTAGGTATTTTGTAGATGGTTAGGGTGCTTGTTAGTTGTTGGATAGTGACTGGTGGAGTGCTTTGACAAAATTCCTTGTAGTTTTCTAATCTCTAAACATCACAAAATAGCATGTATAGTTTATGGATAAAGGGGAGTGTCACTCTCCTATGAGTGATGTCAAAAGAAAGGGCAAGGAGATGGAAAAAAATGAAACGATGGTAATGCGATGTGTAAATGCACAAAAATGTGTGTGTGTGTGTACAAAAGTGCTCCCCAAGCACAAGGAGACTTTCACGGGTCGTGTTTTACTTGGTGGTACTCCTAGGTCGTTTCCACGGGGAAGGAAGTAAACCGAGGGGAAGGTGATTTTGGGAAAAAGAAAGTGTAAAATCTTTGGTTGTTGGAAGTTGTTTGGTGAAGTTTGTTTTGATGCTAATAAAATGAGAAACAAATATTGACAAATCTAAGAGGTCACTCCAATAGGAGTACTATCTCAACTCGAAACCCTCCTCCAATAGAGTATGAATGAACGATTGATTCATGGGAAACTAGGGATAAAATTGGTGAGTATCTAAGCATAAACCGTGACTAGGCCTACGAAATATCAAAGACTCACCAAGTTATCCACCCTCAACCCAGTCAAACCGAACCATTGGACTCTGAAAGAAGGGAGGAGAAAGAGTTAAAATGGTATACCCAAGTAAAGGTTTCCCTTGGTTTTGCCAACTAAGAAATTTAGCTACTCATGCTTAA